AAAATAATGAAACCAGTAGCTTCTTTTTTGAGAAAGAGAGGTTATGTCTCGATTATCTATCTCGACGACTTTCTCTTAATAGGTGATTCCTTTGAGGATTGCAAATTAAACGTCGATATGACTTTGCATTTACTGACAAAACTGGGTTTTTTAATAAATCATAAGAAGTCCGTTTTAACCCCCAGTCGTCAACAAAGATTCCTGGGTTTCATTCTCGATACTAAAAACATGTTCATATACTTGCCGGAAGATAAACGGATTACATTAGCTGCACGTGTGCTTTCCTTCCTATCAAAATCGGAGACAAAAATTCGCGATTTTGGCGAGTTTTATCGGTGCTCTCATATCTGTTTGTCGGGCAGTGCCTTACGGGCTCCTCTATATTAGAAATTTCAAATTTCTAAAATTCCAGGCATGCAAAAACTCTGGAGATAACTACGAGGCCCAACATGACGTTACCCTCGAACTTGATCCCAGACTTTAAATGGTGGGTACACACGCTGGCATCGCCGAATATTGGTAAGCCGTTAAGGAGACAGAGGTTCCAACATGAAATCTTTTCCGATGCCTCTCTTTCGGGCTGGGGAGCAGCTATGGACAACCAGAAAATACTGGGTGGTGGACTACAGAGGAAAAGCATATCAATTTGGTTGGAATTAAAGGCAGCCTATTATGCTCTCAGATGTTTTGCTAACGAGGTATTCTCCCGAGACATCATTTTACGCGTTGATAACACTACGGCGATTGCCTGCATAAACAAAATGGGATCTATCCGCTTCCCAAAGCTTGCAGCAGTGACAAAACAAATTTGGCAATGGTGTGAGCACAGAGATATCCAGATCTTTGCGTCTTACATAAGGTCTTCTGAGAATGTGGTGGCTGACGAGCAATCTCGAATCCTCTCTACCGAAACCGAGTGGCAACTAGCTTCATTTGCGTTTAAAGAGATCAATAGAAATTTTGGCCCTTTCGAAATCGATTTGTTCGCGACACACGCGAATTCCAAATGCTCGTCTTTCGTGTCCTGGTTTCCCGATCCATTCGCGACTGCCGTAGACGCTTTCACACAAGATTGGAGCACATTTTATTTTTATGCGTTTCCCCCTTTTCTATTATACCAAAGGTTTTGAGAAAAATTATTAACGATCGAGCAGAAGGGATTTTGGTAGTGCCCTGGTGGGACTCTTAGCCATGGTTCCTCATGTTTAACAAACTGCTAGCCTCTCCAACACTAATTTTTCATCCAAACCCTAACTTGCTACACTCTCCTTTCAGCAATTAGCACTCGATGTGGAGAAACCTTTCCCTGGCAGCCGGGAAATTATCTTACAGGCATTTCGCCGAAAGGGAATCCCAGAATCAGCTCTAGCCACGTCCTTGGCCTCACTTTCAGAGGGGACCTTGAAGCAATACGCGAGGCCAATCAAGCTATGGTGGCTATATTGCAAGAATAAAAGCCACGATTGGTTCCAGCCTGACATCGGGGTTGCGTTAGAGTTCCTAGCGGCCGAGATGAAAAATATATCAGCGTACGGATCTCTCAATTCCGTCCGCTCAGCGCTTTCTCTCATCACCAACGTGAACCTAGGCTCGGACTCCAGGGTGAAGCGTTTTTGCAAAGGTGCGGTGGTTTTGAAGCCTTCAAAACCGAAGTATGCCTTCACATGGGACCCGAATCCGGTCATCGCTCACCTGAGGACCCTCACCCCCCATTCATCGCTGGATAGGAAAACCTTGACGCATAAATTAGCGACATTGATAGCCTTAGCGACAGCTTCTAGAGTTCAGAACCTTGCCTTAATTAAGCGTGCGAATATCTCGCTTACGAACCCTGTGATCATAAAGATACCTGATAGAATCAAGACGTCGGGCGTTAATCGAACACAACCTTCGATGGTCTTTCATAAGTTTGAAGAATGTCCGGAGTTATGCATCGCTTCCTTGCTGCGCATGTATATTGAAAAAACAAATTCTCTCTTACCAAGCGACTCTGACGCTCTTTTTCTAACGTTTGGCAAGCAACCAAAAGCGGCTTCGACCCAGACTATTAGCCGATGGATAAAAAAGACGTTAGCCGAAAGTGGTATTGATACCTCAATCTTCACCGCGCATTCAGTTCGCCACGCTGCAACTTCATCAGCCGCGCGGCTCAACGTTCCTCTTGACGAGATTTACAAATCGGCCGGTTGGTCAAGTAATTCGTCCACGTTTGCAAAATTTTACAATCGCCCTCTAATTCCATCGGGTAATATTAGCCGAGCGTTTATTCTTAACAGATAATCTAGTAGCTATACTTCAGTTGCGACTTATTTTATTTTATGTTTGTATTGTTACTCTAGTCGAGTCTTCCATTTCATTTTAGTTCCTAAGAGATACTATTTGTTCCAACTATTAAATAATAACGAAGAAAACGCTGTTCAAATTGTTTAAGCTTTAAACAGCTACACCTTATTCATCATACTCGGACGAAAGTACGAGCATAATTGCATAATCAAACGAACCTCTGTGAAGTTCGATTGTAATTATGCGAGGACTTTCGTCCGAGTATCCGTTCCCGCCCTTACCCAGTGTCTTCTCTTCCCCTAGGACAATTTGAATGGACTTTGAAAAATGATCGGATGTAGATGCGGGCTCCGCACGGCGGCGTCCAGCCGTACCTACTTCGCG